GCAATATGTGATTTCGTTATGACTGCCCCTCTTCTATAAATCATCTTAGTTAGAGGAGAGGATAAACTACCAACAAACAAAATTGCCAAGTCCATATATCACTTTTTGATCCTTTTCTAAACTTAAGGGTTGCTGTTATTGACATCCTGCTTAGTTTATATGAACATAAATTTACTTCGATATAGTTTTTGTTCAATAAAAAACATGTGAATGAAATAGACAGAAACCATTATTATGATGTTGCAACTCTCTTAGTCTTCTTCAACTTCAAAAGGCTCAAGAGTATCACAGAGAGAGAGAGAGAGAGAGAGAGAGAGAGGGTGGGGGGGAATGAGGGTAAAGGGGAGACACCAATAAGCAAACAGCCTCAGTCATGGAGAGAAGGAAAGAAAAACAATCTCACAACGGCTAAGTTACTCTCAAGCCAAATATATACCATACCAAGGACTCCACCAATGCAAACACTGAAATAGGTATAAGAATGCAAAATCAACCAAGACGAGGAATACAAAATGTAGTGTTGTCATTCCCTAGACCGGAAAATTTTGTCCAAAGAGATATTTAGTAAGAAAAAACATTAACGGTACACTGTAGCAAAGAAATCCATCCAAATTAGTCATAAGCCCTACCACATGTAGAGGTGACAGTCATTGGCTTTACCACATGTAGAGGTGACAATTGGGTGGGTAAATTCAAGTTGGCTCAGATTGTATTTTGCTTTAACTTTTGCAACATTTTAAGCTTCAAGTTACTACTAGCTCAAGGTGTTGACTTTTAAAGGCAACCCGAGTTGGGTTTCAGGCAAGTTGGATAGGTCTTTGGGTTTAGATCGACTTTTTATCACATTTTACTTAGAAAGCAGAGAGTAATTGAGTTCAATTCAGAATCAAGTTTGTGTTTAGGTCCCTTCAAGTTTAAATTTGATTTCACTACAATTGATTTTTCTAGTAAATTAGATGGATCAATTTATTTTCAAGAGAATTCAACAGACAGATTGGATCAGTTTAACATTTATCTCCTCTAACCACATGTGATTACAGGTTTAAGTAGAAGGCATAACCAAACAAGTTTATAAGATGGAGGTTCACTAAAATGGAAGTACTTTCAAGCACATATTAGAAAACAACAGACATTACAAACTGAGATCATACATTTTACATTTTTTGACAATTGTAAACACATTAGAGTTTGTCAAAAAGGAACCTAGAATCGGTTATAGGCACATGCATGTGCACACATACAAATACAAATGACTGGAACTTGGAGCACCAAGATGATCTTACAATCAGAATAAGCATCACAAGCACACTCCTATTTCTCTGAAGGCATCCCTGTTATCCTCTCCAGATCCATCTTGCAATTCTCCCTTAAATCTTTTAGTGCAATGTAACTGGCTTGCTGCCAAATAAGTTCAATTGTACCCATCACATATGAAATTATACATGGAAAAATCCCATTCAAGATATTGAAAATAGAGATCTTATGAATTTAGCCTGATACTAAGCAGCCATGAACTCCAACAATGAAGCATTGATTGGAGATAAGACGTACTAATAGTCCAAAAACCAAGAAATCAGGGATCAAGAACAAAGAGTCGTGTGGTTTTTAACCAAATCCTTGTATCAAACAAAAGGATTCAGGTTTCTTTTGACAAACTGAGTTCTTTAGATCATTCAAGCACTCTTTTGAACTTTAAAATAAAAATTCAAGCAATATTTTGGACAAGACAAAAGATTGGAAAAATCTGTAGAAGAAGAAGTGATTTAAAAAATAAACCATAGGAAATTAGGCATGGAAAGTTCAAATCTAGGCTATTGAAGAATAGATCAACTTACAAGCTGGCTGTTTTCATGAACAAATATATCCTCCATGTTAAGAAAGAGTGATCTCCACTGACTGGTGAGGTCAGATTCTAATTTTGAAGATTTATTGGCAGTTCCCTGGCTTTGAATCTCAGTCTGTTTACCCCTACCACTTTTCTGAACTAAAATGCTTGCTTCTTTCTGACTTTTCTTTAACACTGGGAAAATGGGGGAGAAAACAATGCAGAAACGCACAGGTTATAAAATAAACCTAAGGAAACTAGAGCAAATGTTAGCTATTCAACTAACCTGCTATTCGACCCTTGATATCCTGATAATGTAGGTCAGACCAAATGTAAGCAGCTGATTATCAGTGCAAAATAGGCGAAACCCATTAGATAACACATTACCGGAGAAACCATTTCCAGGGGAAGAAGCTAGAGCAGTTACCTTTCAAGCAAAAAGAACAAGAGCAAGCTTTGAGCATATCAACACCGGCATTCAAATTCACGCAATCATCATTCTTGAGTCCCACACACCTCTCCAACTCAAATGACCTAGAACTCTGCAAGGACGACTTAGGCAACCTCGACCACTCGATACACCCACCTTTACTCGACGCCAATCTACCAATGCCAAGATCCTTACCCTCATTCCTACAACTATCATTCACCGGATCCCCCACTTCCTTAACACCTTCACCCTGCACCAACGTATCCTCGCTATCGGACAAATCAAACCCCTCCTTAACCTCACTCACTTTGTCATCAACCGAAATGACATCCTCTTTTAATGTATCAATTTCGCCACTACAAGTCGGCGAAAATATAGGGTTGGGTTCAAAATGGGTTGTTTTAGATTTCTCTTCGATCAAACGTTCGACACCTAAACAAACTTGTTTTGTAAAATGGGAATCTGCTTCTTCTTTAGAATTAAACCCTGATTTGTCCGAAATCGACAAGAACCCTCTTTTAACTGATCGATTTGTTATGTCACCTAAAACCGGACGCACGTTCGGTTTCCCCTCGGTAAAATTATCTCCGTTCATTTTGAAATATACAAAAAACCGTTAATTCGACCGAAATCTGTTAAAATGAAAAAGAAGATTAAAAAATTAAGGGTTCAACCAAAAAGAAATGAAATTTTAAAGAACCAAAAATGGGGATTTTGAGATACGGAGTACTGACCTGTTGAGATGCGAAGATGAATGGAATTTGAAATGAGAGAAAATAAGAAGGAGAAGGGTTTTCAAGTGAAAAAAAATTTGTGCTTTGGTGAGGGCGGGAACCATGGGGATTTCGGAGCCTGACCCGCGGTTTTGAAATGCGATTTGGGGCTTTATGTTTTTCAAGAGAAACGCGTGGGCTGTGGCCCACGTGGAATCTTGGGCTCTCTTTCTTTGTGTTTATTATTTAAACTATTAATGGAGTTTTCTACTCTGAAAATTACGTTCTTTTTTTTATATATTTGACTATATGTATTATTTTTAGAATAAATATATATATTTAAAAATTGAGTTTAAATTTTTTTTCTCAAATTAAAAAAAATATTCCTTAAAAAAAATTTTGTCACGGTCTAAAAATTATAAAGTTGACTTAAAATCTAGTGACATGTTTCAAGTCTAGAAGATCTTTTAAACAATTTTGAAGTTTTCTTTTTTCCTTTTTGTCAATTGTTATTAAATGTATGGGACCAAAAGACTATTATTACAAAAGATTTCTCATTAAAATCCCTATTAAGTCTTTGCAGTTTTCATAATGTTACAAAAGAATATTTCTCCATATATTATATATGGAAGGAAAAGGTTAGTAATTAAGAATTACCCATTAAAGAAATAGAAGCGATTATTTGGAATTAATTTTTATTGCAAAAGTAATTACTAAAAAATGTCAGCTATTATATAGAATATCAAAGAAATTTTACATTTTATTATTTTGTAAGGGTATTTACATAAAAGCATTGAAAATATTCATAAAAAGTTTATTTATTTTATTACATTTACAAAAGCCATATATATATATAAGAATGAGATTTACCACCTGACTATATATATAAGGTACTACTACTTGCTTCACTATTTTTTTTTTTGACCCATATTGATCCTGTCTCACATCATGATCAATATTATAAATTCAAAATGGGATTTATCCATTTATGTATGGATCAATTAATTCATAAATTATATGATTTAAGTTTTATTAATGAAGAATAAATTTCACCTACATCTCTTAATTTCATTTTGTTTCACATGGTCTTTTTTCTATTAATACTCTTGTGAATTTTTATTGAATTAATAAATTGTGGATTACTAATATTTCTACAAAGAGTTAGGGTTTTAATTTTACACAGTAAAATTATAAAAATAACCTTAAAAAAGTGACAAGGGATGTAAGTGAAATTTATTCATTAATAAGTTAAGTTTTTTGGCACATGTTTTGTACGGTTAGCCTTTATTGATCAAGAGATAAAGTCCAAATTTACCAAGTGACGAACCAAGTTTAAAATTAATTTTTGAATGAGTGTAATTTTATCATTATATTTTTTAATTTCGTTAAAAAATGATAAAAGGTTAATGGTAAAATAATATCAATGAGAGTAAAAGAAATATTTTCCCTAAATATGTTAATTTTTTATTATCCAAAAGAAAAAACAATGATAAAATTATTATGGTCCAATAATAAATTATAAATAGGACCTATTACTCTATTAGTAAAATGATAAATTTAAATCTTACCTTCTTTATCAACAATAACTTAAATAAAAATAACATATATGTATATATAGATAAATGGCATAATTAAAAACTGATTTGAAAGAAGTAGCCGAACTTGCTTTCATCATAAAGACATATTCATGTGTGGCGGAGATAAGGCTTCATCCGAGTGGGAAGCGAAACGGTGTTTCATTTCTTGACGCATCATGTTTTACATATTTTTATATATTCTATATTTCTTCTCTCTCGAAATATACGAATTCCAATAGAACAAATCAAAGGTCAACCGCACTTAATCTCATCCTCCATACCACCTACGTCATCACTATATCCATTTCCCACATTCAACAGCGCGCCAACTTAACGACCTTTCTTCTTTCCAATCTTCATCCGCCACGTACTAATCCGCCATAACGCCACGTTGTGGTCAACTTTTCTTTTAGATTACACAATCCCTACTGCGCCTACTCCATTCCCCCACCCAGAAGAAGAATAAAAACCCATTGCCTCCCCGACTAACCCATTGTATTTTGTTTTTTTGCTTTTTATTTTGCGAAGAGAAAATGAACCCAAGTCAGACGGTGGAGGATGAATCACAGCTATCCAACTCAACCACCGCCCGCCGTATCCAACGGCTATCGCTTCACCTCACCCCACTTCCACCCCTTCAACCTTCACCTCAGCTCGACATGCTAACTTGCGCCAAGGCCAGTAAGCTGGACGTTGACCAAGGCCCTCTTTCAAGCTACATGCGAGGGAAGCATAGGGAAATTCAAGAGAAAATTTTTGAGTTTTTCAACTCAAGGCCTGATTTGCAGACGCCAATTGAGATTTCAATGAATGAACATAGAGAGCTTTGTATGAGACAGCTTATGGGGTTGGTTAGAGAAGCAAAGATTAAGCCTTTTAGATATGTTGCTGAAGATCCTGCTAAGTATTTTGCTATCACTGAGGCTGTTGGGAGTGTTGATATGTCTCTTGGGATCAAATTTGGTGTACAATATAGGTAACTCATGTTGCTTTTCTAGCTCGTTTGGGCATTAAAGTTTTAATCTTGGATGGATTTTGGATTTTGGGTATTTAAGTTTAAGAGAGTTGGTTGGTGTTTTTTGGGTTAAATAGTAAGTTTTGGTATCTGGGTTTAGGTTGTAAATGCTTGGAGATTGAGTTTGTGTGATGGGTTTGTTTTCGTTAAAATTGAGATTGGGTAAAATTCTATTGTACATGTGGACCATTTGGATGCTGCATTTGAGCTGATTCTTGGTAAATTATTATTGTTATTATTTTTTTATTTGTTAAAATAATGAATGTGGTAGTGTCTTATAAAAAATTAATTGAAGTGTCTTATAAAAAATTAAAAATTCATTAGTATGGAAGCACGATGCTAACCGACTTGATATCTAAATGATTTTTACTTGCATAAAATTAACATTTTATTGATTTTATTATGCAGTCTTTGGGGAGGTACTGTGCTCAACTTAGGAACTAAAAAGCACCGGGATAAGTATTTTGAGGGTATTGACAATTTGGATTATCCCGGTTGTTTCGCAATGACAGAACTACATCATGGTGAGCTCTCTTTTCAGAAATTATTTACGTTTTGTTTTGTTTTTTCCCTATTTCTTAAATGTGTATTCCTGTGCTGCTCTTGACGTCTTCCTTCCACTGTTCTGCATTAGAACTAGTCATGACACGCAACAGAGTACGCTTATCCTGATGCAGTATTTTGAAATGTGGATTAAATCTGAAATATTGTATTGAGAAATTTATATTAGATTCAGAAAGGAAATCAAAGAGCATAATTTATGCAGAAGAAATATCTTTTTGTAGATATTAACTACTTTTTGTGTGGTTACTGTGCACCCATTTCTTTACCCTAAATGTTTTCTTTTAGTTGTTCATAATCTGCTAAGCATGCTTATCGAACTAAACTGCCAATTTTGTGCTTAAAAGGCTCAAATGTTCAGGGTCTCCAAACCACTGCAACCTTTGATCCAATTACAGATGAATTTATAATTGATACACCAAATGATGGGGCCATCAAATGGTGGATTGGCAATGCTGCAGTTCATGGCAAGTTTGCATCAGTTTTTGCTAGGCTGATTTTGCCAACTCATGACTCTAAAGGAGTTTCTGATATGGGAGTCCATGCCTTCATTGTGCCAATAAGGGATTTAAAAACCCACCAGACACTTCCAGGAATTGAAATACATGATTGTGGCCACAAAGTTGGCTTGAATGGGGTCGATAATGGAGCACTGAGATTCAGTTCGGTTAGAATTCCCCGAGATAACCTTCTTAATCGATTTGGGGATGTTTCTCGAGATGGAAAATACACAAGTAGTCTCCCTACAATAAACAAACGTTTTGCTGCTACACTAGGTGAACTTGTAGGTGGGAGAGTTGGCCTTGCATATGCTTCAGTTGGTGTCCTCAAGATTTCTGTCACTATTGCAGTGCGATACTCCCTACTACGTCAGCAATTTGGTCCTCCTAAGCAGCCTGAAGTCTACATTCTTGATTATCAATCTCACCAGCACAAGCTCATGCCAATGCTGGCTTCAACTTATGCATTTCATTTTGCCACTCAGTATTTGGTGGAGAAATATTCAGAGATGAAGAAGACGCACGATGAGCAACTGGTTGGAGATGTCCATGCGCTTTCTGCAGGCCTGAAATCCTATGTGACATCATATACAGCAAAGTCATTGAGTACTTGCAGGGAAGCCTGTGGAGGCCATGGGTATGCTGCTGTCAACCGGTTTGGTAGCTTGAGGAATGATCATGACATTTTCCAGACATTTGAAGGAGATAACACAGTACTTCTGCAACAGGTTTTAGACTAATTCCCTTATATCACAACCTTGCATGAGAATTTGCAATACTTGTCTCAGTATAAAGAAGGGTCCCTAACTATATTGTGCGATATTTCTAGATAACTACATAAAAGGAGCAGGAGTGACCCCTTTAGATGGCTTTGGTATTCAGTGTCATCTTTACTCCAGGTGTTTATGTTGATCCTGCCTAACTGACCACTGCTTTTAAATTGTAGTCAGTTGCCAACTAGATAAAGCAACAACCAAATCAGATTGTCAATCTGGCTTGGTTAGTCTGAAGATATATCCGGAAATAGTACCATATCTAAAAATGTGACCATGTTTCCATCTCTGTAGAAGCTTGGTTTAGATATGCAAGGATAATCTTCAGGCCTTTCAACATTCATTCATCAAGATTGTTTAGATAGGTTACCATTTATTCTTTCTGTAAACCCTCTCCATGTCTTATACTGGTATTTATGCTGTGTTGTTGCTCGGAATCATTTCTATGTTCTTTTAAACGAGTTAAGAAAGCTTGCTTCTCAAAAAAAAAAAAAAAAAGAAAGGAAACTTTGATGCACATATATTCACATGGACTCCTTTTGTGTCCAATTAGATATTGTTGTCATTTGGATGTTTTTATAAAGAAATAGGGAAATTTGATGACTGTTATTCTTTTAAGGGATTCTTTAGGGCATTTGGTTTGTTAAGAACTGCTGTTTACAGATAACAATAATCTTCCCATCAAGAATTAGTTTGGTGCGCAAGGGCCTTTGGAGGGTTTTGCCTCACTGGCACCTAATGTATATTGTAGTCTGGTGTTACTCTTGGTTAAACTATAATTTGCTTTTCAATACAAGCTATTTTTACTGGAATGTAGGTAGCTGGTGATCTGTTGAAGCAATACAAGGACAAGTTCCAAGGTGGTCCTCTTTCGGTAACATGGAACTACTTGAGAGAATCTATGAACACATACTTGTCTCAGCCAAATCCTGTAACTACCCGTTGGGAAAGCACAGACCACTTGCGAGACCCTAAATTCCAGTTGGATGCCTTCAGGGTGAGTGTAATATTGGTTTTTGTACTTTAGAGTCCAACATTCTGACTTGTAACCCGAGATTCGTATAATTTGTGTATTCAGTACCGAACCTCAAGATTGCTTCAAAGTGTAGCAGCACGACTTCGGAAGCACTCTAAAACTCTTGGCAGCTTTGGTGCATGGAATAGGTGCTTGAATCACCTTCTCACACTTGCAGAGTCTCATATTGAGTCTGTCATCCTTGCAAAGTTTATTGATGCTGTGCAAAAGTACTTCCTGAACTCAGCTACTGAATTTGTTCTCTTTTCCATTTGCCATATAGATTTTTTTTGAGTTTCTAATTGGGCTTGAATTTACCTTCCAGCTGTCCTGATGCTCGTAGTCGAGCTGCTCTAAAGCTTGTCTGTGATCTTTATGCCCTCGATCGAATTTGGAAAGACATAGGAACTTACCGTAATGTTGATTATGTTGCACCAAACAAAGCTAAGGTACTGTCTTGCTAATTTATAATTATGAAAAAAAAGGGTTTTTTTTTTTAAAATCCATTTTATACTACTATTTCCAATCCTGAAAAACAGGGATGACTCCAAGCATCTCATGCGTGGTTATTTACATATGTCCTAGTATTTGTGTATATGTATGTAAGTAATTTTATTTTCTAGAGATACAAATTTTATGAGGTTGTTTCATTGATATAACCCTTTCCTTTCTGCAGGCAATCCACAAGCTCACAGAATACCTGAGTTTCCAGGTGAGAAATATTGCAGGGGAGCTTATAGATGCATTTGATCTTCCGCCTTACGTGACACGGGCCCCAATTGCAATGCAGTCAGAAGCATATGCACAGTACACACAGCATGTTGGGTTCTAATGACTGGAGAAAGTCAAAAAATGAATGTAACAAACAAGTGAATTATTCCATAATAGATTAGAATTTTTTAATTCTTTTGCCAAATTAAATACATGCCTTTTGAAACCAAGGTCGATAGCCCCTAGCGTTTGGAGATAATGAGGTGAAGCTCGAAAACAATTGTTTGTAACATGTATCAATAAATTGAACTATATACATTTTCTTTTTTATTAGAAGAAAAGCAGGCTATGCGAAATTGCAAATTACTCGTAGCTTGTTATTTTGCCATGATATGGTTAACAAACAGGGAACACAAACTAAATCGACTTTCTGATTATAAGTAACAAGCAATGGTGACTTGTTAAGAATGACCAAGAGTGAAGTACAATGATTGCCTATCCTTTTACCTGGCAGTAAAGCTGGAAGCATGATGTTTTTCAAATAGCTACAAATATATTTATAGCTCTAACACCCACCAATTTTGAGGCATCTCCCACCATTCTCGAAAGGGAAGCAGCCGGTGAAGAAACTGAGCAAACCAACTCCCCTGAAATCAACATTGTGGGACAGATGATAAAGCAGACGACTGAATCCTCCATATTTACTTGTCTTCAACTCTTCCAATCCAATTTTGATAGGAACAGTATTTTTGACATTTCCAAAATTGTTCTATTTCTTCAGCAATGCTATTTGCCACAAATCTTTGAAATTTACAACCATCTATTTCCCAAACCAAACCTTGATATGCTTTATACTTAATAATTACATAGCCTTCTAAAATCTAGTTGGCCTGCAATTTGAGATATGCAATTCGGGCAGCTTCACTTTTCTGTCTAACATCCTCGTACATTTTCAGAGACGCCTCAGAAAATTTGTTTAGTCTATCAAGAACCCGAGTCAAACTTGTTTGTATGCAGAACAGGTTTGAAGTTACATCTTCATTTGTATCACCATCTGTTAATGTGTTAACAGCATCTTTGCTCTCTGATTCTCCGTTGTTTCCATCAACAGATATCTCTTCCTTCTGCAGTTGTTCTACTTGTTGGTCCATTAGATGGCAAAGATCAGATAAGAAGGCTTTGATGGCATCACTAAGCTCCTCGGCTGGCAAAGCTTTTATCCCAGCTGACCACTCACCACATAGAACAAATATTGGTGGTCCTAATCCCAGATATGGATGAGGAGAGAATGGATTCCTATGCTTTGAACGCTCCTGTGGTTCTATGATGCAGTTTTGCAGCCAACCATTCAGAGCTTCCAAATAAGATGCATGGCTATTGACCCAGTCTGTAAAGCTTATGCCAAAGCATTCAATCTCTTGCTGAAGCTGAGTCATAATCTGCCTGCGGGAATCTCCCTGTGGAGCACCTGTCGAGCTCCTTGAATGGTAAGCCAACGAGATGGTGATATACTGTGAATGATGGCATTCAAGCATGGCCTTCCACATCCTGAGCAATCTGCAAAAACAAGCATAAGTTTGGTCAAGATATGGATGTCCATGATTGAGAATGCTCAAGATTAATGAGTATGAGAGTAAAGTTTTAGTCACTCAATTTTCTCATTTAAAGGATTTTGCTCACCCTTGAATTAATTCAACAAGTTGTGGTTGCAACTCTTCATCTCTCATTTTTTCAATCCGCTTTGATATAGTATCAACAGAATGAAGTGCCACTCTAATTCGGGAGTGCAGATCCTTTACAACTGCCCGGGTTTTATCAATCACTTGAGTGCTAAGATCCTTGGCAAACTGGTGCCTGAGCTGATCACACTTCTGATCATACTCCTTCCTGATAGATTCACTGGCCTAAAGGGCACAAAGAGGCAAACAAGTCAGAGGATTGAATGGCAACACTACTTATTAGATAACTTAGAAGCATTCGCTACTAATGCTGGAAGAGATTAATTAAAGATGCTTTGTAAACTTTATTGATGCTCCAAATGCTTTTCTACAAGTCCCACAGTGGCATGGATGTATGTATTTGCTTACCTGCAATAGTCCTAAGAATCACCTAACATTCTGTGTAATGTAATTAAGCTTTGCATTAGGGGAAAAAAATAAAAAAGGGAAAAAGAAATACTAAGGAGATCCTTCATCATATAACCTAATTAAGCTTTGCATCAAAAAAGGAAAAAGAAATACTAGGGAGATCCTTTAATCATAAGAATGCATGTGTCTACTTGTGACTCAAAAAGTCCCTATTTAGTTCTTGAGGAAAGGAAATGTTGAATTATAAAGCATATACCAAAGATTTTGAACCTACTGACTGAAACTTAGAACCATGGTTACTGCCATTACAGAATCAAATGAAGGAAGCATTAAGGAGTAATAGCACTTGTGGTGTCTACAGTAGAAGAAACTAGAAGGAGAATAACATGGAGATACACATGAGGATAGGAGGTAATCATATTAGCTATCCTGGCCAGTCTTTTGATGGGATTTTACTTATGGTAAAATCAGAAGAGACATGAAGTTTGCAACTGTTTGTGGCCAGTCTTTTGGTGTTTTACTTATAGTCTTTTGGTGGCCAGTCTAAATATCTATTTTGTCTCGAAACATAAAATAAATTGCAACATTTTGTTGTTGCTCACTCAATGCACAGTAGCTTTTGGAAAAATAAGACAAACACCTAAAAGTAAGCTCTTAGTGAATGAAAAGATTTCCTTTGCTAGCTGTGAAGAAGACAATTGATTTACTTAGCCAACCATCTTGCATAAATGATTGTTCAGGGAATTTTAAGACCTTCAAGTTGATAAAGAAGATTTATACACCACAAAATTCAACCATCATTCATTTTAAACAAATCTTTTAATCTAAATTGACTATTCTTCCTTGCAGTATGAACAAAAGATAAAAGTATTCATCCATCAAAAGAGAGAAAAAGAAAAAGTATTCCTCCAGTAAAGGTCTACCTCTAAATCAACATGTCAGCTAAGCCAAAAAAAAGAAAAAAGGAAACATAGAAGGATATCTGATGGCAATAAAATCAACAAGTGAATACATCACACACACACACACACACAAATATATATATATATATATATATAGAGAGAGAGAGAGAGAGAGATTGATAAAAGTTCTGGTCATAATTACATGCAACGCTAGATAAATTCCAGTAGATCCAGAAGATATTCATCAGTAAAATATGTAAGTGGTTTCAGTGAGTACCTTTACTTCATCATAGAGTTTTCTTTCCCATGCGTACAGTCTGTCCAAGGTGGACGAATGACTTCCAGCAATCATGCAGAACTCTTCAATAAAATCACTTCCACTGTCATCAGCATCATCTTTAGATGCTGTGGCTAGTGGATTCCTCGATGAAGAAGACCTTGAAGATGCTGACCTCTTCCAAGTTATGACTTTAGTCACATGTTGTACTGGTTCTGCAATAATTGACAGAATAAAAGAAAATAAAATACAGATTATGACCATAACTATCATCTGACCAATAAATACCACAATAAAAAGAAAAGAGGAAAAACAAAGTGTCTAAAAAATATAAAAGAGAAAAACATACAGTTGAACCTCGTTTCTGAGTGCTAAAAGTATTGCCATTTCTAGTGTTCATAGTAAAAACAGTAAGCAGTTCTAGTGTTTGATCATCTTATGCAAGAAAGCAAAGGTGTGTAATTTTGACAACTACAGCCAAAGAACAAATGCAAAATATCAAGATTGTAATAAGCTCTTCCTCCAGATTGTTCCAGCCTGCCGGCCATATACAGAAGCCAGAACTTACCATGAGAGACAAGAGCAGAATTTCCACGGCAGCAAACAAGTTGGAAAGCTGCCAGAAAAGCTGAGGATCCTCCTACAAGAATTTATTTATCATAAGATGCTAGCAGAAGAGAATTCAGTAGTGAAACACACTCAAACAAGTACATGTAGCATTAGCATTGGATAAAAGAACAAAGAGCCCAAATCCAAAATCAGAAGTTCAAGTGGGAAATACTCACCTTTGGCTTCGGAATATCCAACCCGGATTTTGTTTGACTCAAGCATGCGGGAGACTTCTCTGCCAGCTTCAGAGGCTCGGAAGAAACGATGTTCAATATCCTTTATACTTGAAAGAAAATCCTTAGCTCTGTGGGTTATAAACTCAGAAGGGTCTTCTCTTTCTGCAGATAAATCTTTCTCTGCCGCGGCCTTCCCCCTCTTTGAACTTGATTGCTCAAGAGCACCTTTGCCCATCAAAGTTTCACCTGGCCCATTGACATTATGTTCCGTACCTAGCTGCCTCACTTCCTTGTTATTTGGCAGCCTACTACCACCATTTCCTCCCCTTAGTCCAGTCAAAAACACATCATTCTCCATCACACTACCAGGATTACGATTACGAGTTGCTGAACTATCAGTCCTTTTGATAGCGTTTCTCTCCAACTCTGGCCACAAAGTTCCTTCAATCAACTCATTATTTCCATCCAAACCACCATGATCAACCCCTTTGCTCCTGCACTCTCTCCACCCTTTCAAATCCTCAAAATCCATATCCACTCCATTATTCCCCACAAATCTAAAACTCTCACAATCATCAACAGGATCAAAAAAATCCCAAGAAGAACCCGATTCAAAAGGAGGAGGTGGAGGAGGCGGCATTGCCATTGCTAATGACTCATCCTCCACAAAACTACCATTACTAGGATTAACCTTGAGAGTCACTGCAGCACTATTTCCAGCTCTCATGTAACTCAAATTCGCCATTGCCGGTGAAATGGGGCTCTCATTATTCAATGGTGAATCAGAAACCTCAGCTCCTAAGTGAGAAGGAGATGGTGAAGGGTAGGAGGAATGGGAAGGGGTTTTGTCAAGCTCGGTTGCTGAGGTTGACAGAGAAGACTCGATCAATATCTCAGCTTCAGCAAATCTTCTCAAAGCTATGCCAATATTTCTAAGAGAGTGAATATAAGAAATATGCGCAGCCGCAAGAGCATACCTCGACTCAATAGCTTGCTTTATGAATCTCCTTCTTTCTTTACATAGACGCAACGCTTCGTTTTTCTCACCTTTAGAGTTTCCACAACCCATTTTTTTCTACACCAAGAATGAAATGAACCGGTTCATAAAATTAACCCCATTTTATTAGTGACCAAAACCAAAGAGGGACAAAAAAGAACCCAGCTTTGGGTTTAAATTAAGGAAGTAATTTTAGTAAAGAAAGCCCATTTTTTGGAGTAACTCCCCCAAAACAAAGGAAACAGCGACAAACAGGGGAAAACCAAGCAAACTTTAACTCAGGCACAAAAGAAGACTGATTTCAACACAAGACGAGGAACCCAGTTGGAGAAAGGTTTCGTAATGACGATTGAGACAATACAGAGTAAACGAAAACAAGCAATGAAAGAAAGACTTGTTGGACTTTCTTTTGGGTTGATATATCTGTGGCTATAACAGGGGGAAAATAGCAAAGGAAAAACAGAGTAGTAGAAGGCAGACTGACAGACGAGAGAAGAAGTCCCAGAGGCAATGCAAAAGAAAGAGTGGTCGGGGTGTAATAAAATGGAGCGCATTGATGGATGGAAGCTAAGAAGAGGCCAACAGGAATTCCAAGTCTGAAACTTTTGAAAAACCTGAAGCAATTTGGAGACTGCCCTGTGATGGAAATGAAGACTTTTACAGAGTTTGTGAAGAAGAAAGAGGAAGAGAGCAAAATGAAATGACAAAAACAAAAAGAACATATATAAAAAAAAAAAAAGGCAAAAAGAGGAATCCGTGACAGTGGATACAGAGAGAAGGAGCGTGCATCGATTTGTGTGTTACTTTCTTCATTCATTACACTTCATAAGGTTAATAGAAAGCCAAAGAGGAAAAAAAAACAGAGGTCTCCAACTCCATATTCAGCATTTTTTTTTTTGTAGAACCTTTCTTTTTTAATTATTTTTGTTAATGAATATCTAAAGGGTAGCAGCTGAATCGATAATTTTTTTTTTGAAACAACTAAATTGATATAGTTATTCTTCGAGAAAACTATTTTGATATTAAAGATATTGTAGTAATAATCTTAATAAATACGTTTAGACCACTTGTTAACCATTTTTTTTGCTTTAGTACTACTAAAGCGTAAATTTACATTTTATTAGTCAGTAGAAGACAAAGAAAGAGTAATAAATTATGTGTAGAGTGTTGTTATAAGTGTGTAGGATGAGGAGAACACTGGTTCTTTTGTGGCATTGGAACATGTGCAGATTGACAGATTTGCCCTTTTATGTTTCCCGAGGGACCCTCTAACGGCTCCTTAAAATCCGGGTTTTTTGGAGAATTGCATTCACCTTTTCTCTGCTCTTCTGCATAAAGCAAGCTAAACAAAAAAAAATTCTATACACTCCCATAAATTATGAAAAAATATAAATATATTTTTATTATTATTAATTTTTCTTTCTTTAAAGAAATTATTTTGAGCTTGTAGCTAGTGACTCTGCTGCCAAATCTCAGCTAGCACAATTGGAGGTTTGGTTTTACTCAAAAATGAACTCATTTCCTTTATATTCTCTTCTCTTTTTGTTTTTGTTTTTATTGTGATGAGGTAGTGATAGGGATATTCAAGAATATCCAGCAAAAGTAAAATATATACTTAATATTAATAATTAATACCAAAGGAAAGAAATGAGTATGGGTTTTGGGAATTGTTTAAAGGGGGACAGAATCTTAGTGATCAGGTTGGTGACTGTCACAGATTATTATCATTAAGGGGTATATTGCTCTACTCATTATCTTAATAATCATCATAATTCCTAATGCAATTTATATCTTCTTCTTTTTTTAATTTGGTGCCAGGGAGATGGGTCAAAAAGATAAGATTGAATGCCACTTTAGCATTTGCCATAAGACTTAAAAAAATTTTACTACTTTAATATAAGAGACAAAAAGTATAAATAAAATAATTCTACAAAATTTTGTCAAAATGGGAAAGTAACACATGTTATGCACAACCCTTTGGTGGAATAACAAATAGGCATTACTAGGGGACTTCCTAATAGTTACTTGACCACAAAAAAGAAAAAATTCAATCAAGTCATATGTTAATTCTTTACAATATCAACACATACTTCAAAATTTTGCTTTAATTTCAAGAGTTTTTAAATATTTCGAAAAATTTGTTACACAACACACTGATCTAACAGAGGAAGGAGTCCCTTAAAAGTTGTAGAGTACCCTAAAGAAATGAGGTAAAGATTTTTGAAGATATGAATGAATGTGCCTTGGATTTAACTTTATTAAATGTGCATGATTGTGTAGTGATCAGAAAATATAAAGCTAACAGCCAACTTGGATAAAAAAAGAAGAAGAAGTTTTTAACTGGCCACATTCACATGCAGTCTACCCCTGATGTGCTATGCTTTTTGTAGGGTATCTTTTATATTGGACAAGCAACTATGGAAACTTGGATAGTTATTTCATCTTTATTCATCCACCTTTTTTAAGGGCAATCAAGTAATGCATGACAGTTCGCATGGATGGCTAATGCTTGCCTTTTTAATTTACTTTTATCACTAATGTAATTTGAAGCATAATTAATTAATGAATTTATTTATTAAATTTATGCTAAATGATTCTAAATTTGAACAAAATAGGCAAAATAATGACAATTACGTGTAAATGATATAAATTCGAACGAAAAAGTATGTATGTATTTTATTCAAGATCATTTATATTATTATTCTCTCCATCCCATATTTATTGTTTTGTTTTGATTTTTTTTAATAATTTTTTTAATTTTGATTTTATTCTATTTTCAAATGATCATGCATTGATATATATTAAAATTTAATTTGATAAAATATTTAAAATAATTTGGATGATCAAAATAAAAAAGACCAAAACAAAATAATTTTCGTGGAATGGGAGGAGTATATTTTTAAAGTCTTTATGGTTTCCCATTTATTCTCACATTCATTTGCAAGTTTCTCATGTGGTTTATGGGTACTTCCCTCCATTTGCTTGTTGAAGTTTTCTTTTGTTTTTAATGGCCCATGCTCCCTTGCTTTTGTCAAATTTCCTTTAAAAAAAGGGAAAAAAAAGCCATTCTAATCAATGTTTTTTTTTTCTTTGCACTTTGATTTATGCTCATCCTGGTTGAGTTGTAACATTAATTGAGGATGACAATACAGTCTTTCTTTGCATTTCCTTTTAATCAGCCTGCAGTAATTTACCTTGATTACTTTGGAAAATGAACTTTCAATTTTGCCTTTTTTTTTCCTCCTTTGTTTTTTGGGATGACAAACCTTTATATTTTTCTTTTCACCAACTCCAATGGGTTAATATCTTTATCATGTTGGTTGGTTTTGTTGGAGATAGACCAAGCATTAATGCAATTATTGACACTAGAATCAAAACTAAACCTAAAGGATTTGTGAAACTGTGTCTTAGAGATACTTTATAAGATATAGAGTTCAATTGATAGATGTTTGGACATTTATTAAAATTAGTTAAAATCTTTACTCAATGCAAAAAAATCATCTTATTAATTGTTAATTATTGTTTTTAATGTAGAAACATTAGTATAAATAACAACTTAAAAAATGTACCAATGCACATTGCCCTTAAGAGTCTGATATATAGGATAAGCAACTGATAGAACTGATTAGAACAGAAAATCCAAAGTACTAGGGGAAAGAGAGAGAGAGAGAGAGAGAGAGAGAGAGAGAGAGAGAGAGAGAGAGAGAGAGAGAGAGAGCAAAGTTAAAAGTTGCATAGAGAACAGAAAAAAGCAAGCTGGTTTCCTCATATCCTGTCCTATCCTTTATCTTTTAAGATCTTAGAATAAGGTTAACAAACCAGTATTTTTTTCTTTGTAAATCTTGGATCTTGTATCATTCTGATTTCTCTTTTCACTGCTAAGTGAAGTGTTTTCTTTGTCTGTATATGTATAAATGTCTCGTATTCTTTCTAAACTCAATCTGAAATACTAACAAAAGTAATATTTGTCCTAGAATTGCTTTATTCGTGGTTGTTAAATACTTCCTTCTGTGAACAGAATGGTAATGGTTGTTAAATAATGATTAAAAAGATCCCAGCCTCCCAGGTTGTTCCATTCCAATGGTTGGCTTGTTCATAGGTAATGTTAGAACTGCGAGCCCCACAGCTGATTTTATTTTATTTGAATGGCTTAGAAATATGTTATAGGGTTGAGAAATTTGGGCCAGACTCGGCTTGATTGAATCCCAAATGATTATTTGATTATCTTGAGTGGATTTGGGTTTAAATTTTAAAATCATTGGGCTCATTGGGAGCCGGTTGTAATGCTTATCTCGGCCTTTTGACTACAAGATCAAGTGCATACTTTGAATACATCTACAACCATACCATTATTTCAGTTATGGACAGTTGCATCCTTTGGCCCTGGAGCCAGGAGCAGGAGGTCGAAGATTTTGCTGACAGCAGCTGTAACTTGGCAGATGCCTTTGCGCTTGGATGGTAGCCTTCCTTTTCGTTTTAGTGCAGCAGTTATGGATGTCCCTGCGCCCTACAATAGAACCCTTTAAAGTTTGGAGGAGATTGAATCTTGATGATTCACCTTTTGAGGCAATTTTAAGAAGTAGTAATTAAACTGATATTCAACTACTTTTAGTACTGGCAATAATCACTTTATTGTTTGTTTAGTTTTATTGCTTGCTTCTCATGACCAGAAATTTAGCAGTTACCATTAATCTGTCTTTCCCGAAGGAAGACAGGATGGTTACTATAGGATAGGACTCGGAGCCTGTTCTCTTGTTAAAAGGCAAATGATTCTTCGTAAAAGTTGGTTTTCAAAACGTTACAAAAACAAAACTGATAGCAAAAAGATGGAGGAAATTAGTGAAAAGCTGTAACAAGCTCTGTCAGCAACTTCGTTTTCTTAGCTCAAGTCAGAAATAAGTTGAGAACAGCTGCATGTTTATGTAAACTACCAATTGAACAACAATCATCTTAAAACGATGATAAAAGGTCAGAGGTTAAAATGTCAGAATTCACTAACCACTTTTTTGATATGATCCAATGGCGGAGTCACGATTTTATGTTTGAAAGCAAAAAAAATAAAAACGATATTTACAAATTAAACAGTCATATAGAAATTCAATGTTTAACAATAATGTAAAACAACTTAGATAAACAAAGTTTGTATGAAAATTATACAAATAAATCCTGAAAATTATTCAAATGAATCAATCTTAATAATTTCCTTAGAAGAATTAATTAGTAAATAATTTAATAATGGCAATAATCTCAATTTCTAAATAAATTTAACAACAAACAAAAATTAACAAATATAATAACAAAAATCTCAATGAGAAGTAATCTTTTAAAAACTATTAAGGACTATTAATAACCAATTCAATGGAGAAACAATTATCTAAAATTAATCAAAAAAATTAAATACAATATTAATAAACTATTCAATGAGGAAGCAATTTTTAAATAAAACACTTAATTGTTCACAAGAATCTAAGTGAAGAAAAAGGCATAATTAATTTGTAGGAAAACGATCAAGTAATCTCTAAATAAATAAGTAATAACTAATCTTAGGTGCTTAATCAAATTACTTTCAACAAAACATGACTAAGATGGTAAATCATAAAACAAAATCATCAAGGAGAAATTATTAATTAAAAAAAATTTTAAGTTGAAAATGTTAAAAATAAAATAAGTAAATAAACTAATCTTACCAATTATTATGGTATGAAGATTGAGTTACTAACTTAAGTTATCTACACAAAGAATGCTGACAAGCAAAAAAGTATAAAAAGAATTTTTTTTTTGTTTCCACAACATTTGGTAAAATAAAAAAAAGAATAAGTAGTGGTTGTGAGGTTTTAGAGAAGTGGGGTTTGAAAATAATTTTGTTGCAATTGATTTTATAAATTTTTTGTGGAAAGTGCAACTGGTTTTGTTTTAGTCTTATTAAAATTAATTGTTGACTAATTGTTGTGAGATATTTCACTAAACAAAAATTTATTGTAAGAGTAAAATTATAAAATTTCTAAGAAAATGACAAATTATAAAAATTTAAAAATTATTGAAGAGGTGAAATTAATTTTTTTTAAAAAAATTATAGGTAAATTATAAAAATTTAAAAATGGTTGAGGGAGCCTAGCCGCCACTAGCCCGCCTTTCCTTCGCCTTTGGATATGCAGACATGTGCTTATTGTTAGATGGATCCTGAAAGACAGTTGTCGATAATATGATATCAGAATTTAAAAATAACGTTTTTTAATGAGAAGACTTGTACGTTTTTTATAAGAAGAGGTGTGCTTGTTATTGGATAAATCTTGAAAGACAGTCGTCCATAAAATTTTAGATAATTAATAAAATATTTACAAATAATCAATAAAAAGTTTAATAAATAATTTGGCCCATGCAACACGACACTCTAGGCCATTTATATTAATAAGTTACAAATCCAATATAAGAAGTTTTAACATAATAGTTGTTCTTGCTATAAACGATTATACTAAATTGAGAAAATTTTGGAGATTCATATGTTTTACTTATGAGTAGCTACAAAATAAATAATATAACAAAATAATTCATGAGTGTCATAACATGAAATCATGCATCAATATTTTGTTTTTACATTTTTTTAAAAAAAAAATCATAAAAGTACTTTCATTAAAATGAGAGAACGAAACAATTCCCTCCATCGTGTACAAGCCAAAAAATAGCTTCCAGACCCTTAGACTATTGGTCCATATGCTTCTCACTCCAGTATATCTTCCCAATAATCATTTCCAAACACTCAAGATCAACAGGATATCGACGCATATCCCTTACCATAATACAGACATCAAACCAACGAAAAACCTATCACCCCTGCATTATCAATATTGCAAGTGCCGACTTCAAAACAAAAAGAAATCATATTCAGGCATATACATTACATAACCAATCTGCAGAACTGTTGAAAGATGATCACAAATATGGAAATTTAAGAAGCAGACTTGGCGGGAAGGTTGAGAGGCTGAAGAAGGAAGAAGAAGAAGAAGAGGGATGAGTAGCACGATGCCGTTTCATACTTCAGCAGCTGATACGCCAAGATTAGGTGTCGTTTTACTCAGTTACTTTACTGTTTGGGTAACACGACTGTAGCTCTTGTCGTTTTATTTTGTTGTGTTACCTGTACGCTGGTTGAGTACGTCGTTTTGGTGAGTTTATATGGCTGCTAAGCCAGGTGTTCTCTGTTTTCTTTGTAGCCGTTGTCTGGTATTGAAAATATTATATGAAATAAAGCTTGAAAAGGTTCATCTCTATCTTGTAAAAGATTTACCTTTACTATATTTAGTACATTTAACGTTTCGCACGTATAAATAACATAAACATCATCAAATAACAACAAAAATAATGAAATCATGTGTTAAATTTCTCTTATTCGAACTTTTTATTATTTTTTTAATCTAAAGAGTTTGTGCCTTCTGGTGTTGCTGTTGAGCTCTTCTCTGGTATCATTGGACTTTATATCCACAAATATATATATATATATATATAATTTCTTTTCTTCGTTTATATATATTATGCGGACTTCAGGTAGGAATATGCTCAGTGAAATCTGTTTATTTACTAGACAAAAGTCTCTTGAAGCAGAAGATTAAGAAGTTTTATGTAGGGTTTTGTTTTTCTTTTGCCTTTCCCCTTAGAATTGCTTCCTGGTGATGTCAGTGTTTCCCCCTATGTTGTATTTGGAAGCCGCTTTTCATCAATAGATATAGTGCAGTTACATCCTAGTCTAGTGTGTATATCTCTCAGATCATTTGTTACATTTCATTCCACCTCTGAAGAAAGAAAAAGAAAAAAGAATGAAAGTATTTTAGAGGAAAACGACATACAGGTGAAACTTTATGATCTAAACAAAATAAACAAATGACGCTCTCAGTTAGAGCTCATAGAAGCTATGCCTTTTAGGCATGAAATCTTCATAGTCCAATCTCTTTCCGCCGCAGGAATAGCCTTTCCTGAATCTGTTATCGTATTTTCTTCTTACTTCTACCTCAACAGAAAAGACAGCAGAAACAGGTCTGTGATCTGAGAATCTTGACTCTCCACGAACATAAGATAATTGCTCAATGCCTGAACCGTGCCATAATATCCTATCACACCTGGGATGTTTCAATTTCAAGAGAATCAACATTTCCGTTTAGCAATCGATTAACTGTTTACAAGTCACCCTCATCAATGTATGAAGTGAAAAGTATACCATGCAGGGGTTCGGCGTTTCTTCTTGGATTTGACTGTTTCTCCAGCGTAGGAATCTGAATTATGCGAATACTTGTAAGTAGGAGCAAAGTGTATCCGTCCCTCTTTGAAACCATTGAATACTCTTCCGGCTTCTCTCTCCATATTTAACTGCAGTCAATAGAAAACAACGGGTCAGCCAAGTGAAAACATAAACGAAGCTAACAGTACCATGCTATTCATCCTCTGTATTTACCTTTTCAGTTGTCATACTGATTAACTGAACTCGGTTGGATTTGCATGGAAGCAACATTAAGAAAAGGACCGGCCGACTTTTGACTTTGGTTTCACAAATTTATGGCAAAGCAGGTTGTTGTTGACCTTGCCTATTCATGACAAGGGTTGACATCATTATCTCAATTTCTATGCAATTTTCAAACCCCTATGAATTCCTGTCTGTAAATTCCAATTCTCCACCACTCCTCTTTCTTCTACAAGGTAATTTCAACGAGGGTGGAATATCGTTTTGGATATTTCTTGTTTCATTAATCCAGATGTCTAACACAAAAGAAAGTTGGGGCCATGACCTATGAACATATCACTGCTTTCTAATCTGATAAGGTTGCTTCTTTTTCCCACTACCCTGCAGAATACTTTCAGCAGGAATTTTTCTTTTTCCTTTTTGTTTAGGGTTCTTCTCTTGTGGAAGGGAGGGGTAGAGGACCAGAATAGACAAAGATTACACAGCATTTATCATGCAATCAACATAAATATGAATAGAAAAACTGAAACATTAGAATATTAAGAAAGGGGAAGAAAGATTACGCCCTTCCTCAGTTGCTTCTAGAAATTTTTATACTAATTAATCAACAGTTAGGCGGTGAGAATTATTAATCTAAAAATCTTGTTTCTTTAACGGTCAGGAGTAGTCGAAAGTGACAGACCTGATCTTTCTCCAGAAGGGTGTCCCAATGATTATCCTCCAAAAGGGTCCTTGTTTTCTCGTAGCTCAAAGCTACCCGATAATTCAAATCTCCAAGCCATATTACTCGGCTGCAATATTTTTAATTTAAAACAATAATCGTTAAATAAAAGACATAGTAGAAATGAAAAAAGGGTCAATAAATTGTAAAAAAAAAATTAAAATCAATACAAACATACTCATGCTCAATGATATTCTCTGGCGCTCGATGATTCGGAGTTCTGCAAATCTTGGGGAACTGTGTGCCTTTAAGGATCTCAGTAACATCGGCATTTCTCTTGAGCTCATCGCCTTCCTTCTCGCCAGAAGCTAAGTGACTACAAACGAAGCAAAAGCTTGTTTGGTGCAAGGACATGCTTACTGCTATACATCCCTGCAATATTGTAATAGTCCCGCATGAATTAACCTAGAACATTCTCAAATTATTGTCTTTCAGGTTTCTAGCAATGCAATCATTGACCAGAATATGCTAATTTATAAAACCTGGATTGTTTAATTAGCTTTTAAAACAAAATGGCTTAATATATAGGCTGCATGCATTAATAGTTTCTCCAAACAATGAATGGAATCCCTGGAAGAAATAAAATCACCATCATTCATATATTGCTAACCTTGTTGCCAAGGCGTCCCATTATTCCTCTTCCAACGGAGGAAACCCTGAGATGAGCAATGTATGGCACTAACTCCTTTCGAGCCCATACTGAGACGAAAATTCCAACCATCTGCTTGCTAGCTATAAGGCGGTAACCCATCTGGCCAGCCGAGAAAGGTGGGGACATATCAGAAAGTGCAACCAACTCATCAACGTTACTATCAGGACGCACAGGAAGAGGACCAAGGTCTAGTTTATTTGTTAAATCACTAAGCTTCTTTTGCCTTCGCTTCTCCCGAGTTGTCGAATCAACAGGACAGTTGCAAGTCTTCAGAAGGCTACTATCAGCCCTGAAATTCTTACTCAGGACTTTGAGAGCAGGTTTGTTGAAAAAGTGAAGACTGGCAGAAGATTTTGACTCCTTCGAGTTATTGCTGTTAGAGTGTTTCGAACCATGGCCAGAGTCAGGAGAAGAGTGGATAGAATCGTGATGCGGCCTGCTCAGTGCTTGGTTTATAAGGGCCAGCCATTTTGCGGCAGGTTCATTGTCTTCAAGTACTAGAACATTTCCCGCATTGAGTGGAACAATTTCCTGAAACCTGGGAAATCAATATTCTAAGTAAAACAAGCTCCAAAATCTTCTCATTGCAGTGCTTTTTCAAAATAACTGTTGGATTTTTGGTTTTGGAGAGAAGCTTAACAAAGTAAAAAGATAAAAGAACAGCAGCCATGAATGAGAAAGAAAAGAAACACAAAGAGAACCGAGACTTAATAGGAATAGGTTTGTGGAACCATATTGAAGAGCTATCAATGTGTTGGTTCATTTACTTCAATCTTCAGCATAAGTATATATACAACAATAAAAGAGTTATTGACTAGCAGTCAATAAGGTGCAAAGCATTACACATCCGATCCATGTAAGGCAAGTATCCATCATTACAACAGAAAATCATAATTGCACTATACTCCTAGCTGCTGCAAGTCCTATCAAATCTGGGGTTCATCACCTTGCTGTTTTCAAATCTTCATACACTTTATTTTAGGTAGTTTCAGTTTCCAACAATAACACTGATGAAATTCTGCATGTATGTTTGTTATTACAGTGTCATGTAGCACTTCAATAAAAGCAGGAAACAAATCAGGACTATTTCTTTCTTGTGATCTTGCTACAGCTATCTCCAAACTATTCTTTCTAGGATGGAGCTTGGGTTATTGTTCAATACTTATTAAAAAAATACCGACATAGACCAGAAACTGAAAGAACACAATTGTGAGTCAATCATACCCACAGACGTATATATCTGCAGAGCTCTCCATTAGCAAGAAATTTTCCAGGTTCATGTCACTGTTGGGTGTCTTCCCTCCCACATTCCAAGTTGCAACAAATATCCTGCAAGCCCAAAAATGGCATTCCTGCTGTAAGATAACATAGGCCTCATCAAAAGTAAAATGACAATTCACTGAACAGATAAATGATAACAACGAGTCCATACCGAAAATCCCGAATTTCAGTCACCGGTGCCATGGAACGCTCGAAATTTGAGAGATTCAGCCCTTCGATTAGCCCTCCACTTTCATGTTTTTCTGGGAGTAGATAAGAAATTAGCATCATGGTGTAACATTATTTTTTTTCCCCTCTCCCAGTTCTAGATTCTAACACTAACAATTTGTCAATAATAAGGCCAAAGGGTCAACATCAGAACTGAAACTTCCACTGATCCATTTATGTTTCTTCCCCTTCAATTACAAATATCTGGCTTATAAATCAAACTTTTTCTTGTTAGGTAAGCTACCAAAATTCTTCAGCAGATAAGAAAAAATTTAGTCTTCCTGCTCTGGGGATACGTGGCTTATACCCTTTACACACAAAAGCAATGAAAGCTGCCATCCCGTATTATTATAACTATAAAATATCAACATTTTCATAACCACATCCTGCCTAGAACAAAGGTGTGGGAAGGAATAAAACGGCTCATTGCACCTAATACACTCATCATACCTGAGAAACTTTTTCTCATGAAAGGAGAGACTTCCATAAATTCTTTTCTCCTTGATGTAATCTTCTTCTCCAAATCTACCAAATATCGATATCCCATAAAAGATTTAAATAACTCAAGAAAAAAAAACATTAAAACTGATTCAAATAGTCGGAGAGAGAGAGAGAGAAGAGTAATAAATACCAGGAGAAACTCCACCACAATCTGGTAATACAGAATCATCATCTGAGCGTCCTCTAACCCGTCTCTTGGAAGTAAAAATCTTTGGAATAATGGACTTGATCCCAACAACATTTGACAATTAAACAAATCAAACACACATAGAAACAATTGTTCCCATGCATAAAATCGAGAAATAAAACAAAGGGTAAAGTATACCTTCTTTTTCTTGTCATTCTTGACAGAATTATCAGGAGAGGTAACAGTGGAGGATGTGGAGGCGGTGGTGGTGGTGGTGGTGGTGGCGGTGGAGGCGGTTGAAGCATTGGCCTTGGTCATCCCCAGGTTGGCTTTCATTCATTAGGTTACTTTGAAAAATTATAGTACGAAATAACCGTCCAATTTCCAATGTCTAGAGTGTCAAATTACGAAGATTCAAATCCAAACAAGGCTGATTGAAGAAGAAAATTTTTTTTTCTTTTAATTTTTGGGGAAAGAATAATGAAAAAATAATATTTTTTGTGATAAGTTTGATAGGATGAGATTTTGGCGCCAATTCTTTCGGAGAGAATAAGACTTAAAGAGGGCAAGAGGAGAAACCGTTGAGTCACAGTTCACAAAAACTTGAATTTGCTTTATGGCTTGCTGCTCTGTCTACGCACTTCTACAACGCATCATTTTCATTTTTGTGTCCATTCCATCCTCTGCTCTGCTCGTCTTCTCTTTCAATTTATAACAAAATATGTCGAGGGAACTTATAAATTAAACAAACTCTATTGACCAACACAGAATCTTTAACCTTAATAAACATTCTTTACCAAACTGCCATTATATTTTGAATCATTTAGCACGATTCAAGAAACAAGAAACTAATGTAGGATAGAAGTTCTTGCCTTCCTAAAAATGGGATGATTGATAACATCATTAAGTCACATTTTATAATTGAGAAGTTATGATTCTAGAGGATCTTGTATTCTTTGCTGAAGGAACAGTTGATCTAATTAATCAAATGCAATGACATTTAGCTCGAATAATATCTACTTCAACAATTTATATGAACATATTTGGGTCATAACAAGTGTTCATAGGATTCGAATTGATTAAACTTTCTGTTAGTTTTAGAGGAAATTCTAGGCTCAAACAAGAAAATATCAATAATAATGTACATTCTTTCATTCAACCGTCTAGCTGTTATAACTGGAATAGCTTGCCTCTTGGTCTTTTCGCTGAAAACCTGACCACTCACCCTATGCATTATGATAGGCAACTGCAAAACGTACCAAGGGATTAAGCCATCTCTTTCTTACGGAGAATTTGACAAAATAAAAATAAAAATCATAATGAGGCATATATACTACTGTGAATATCAATAACGTTAATTTCAATTTAAGATTGACCATTTGAGAAATCCCTTTATAATGAAATTTATAGAATTTTAAGTCATGTATGTATCTGTGTCTGTATGTGTGTTTGTGTTCATGAAATTTCTTGAATTAGTTACCAGGGTACCCTGGAAAAAGTTAAATTTTGCATTTTATTGGACAGACTATATGTGGGATCTCAAATCAGAGAAAGCATCAGCATTTCATGCATCTTGTTAGAAACTGCCAAATGCAGGATCCAAGTTCTGTAACATCAATTGATTTTTATGTGTGTAAATAGAATGGAAGCAATAATCAAATCATTTCTGAACTAAGATAGAAGCATGATACAAAAACAGGAAACGCCAATTCAAGCAAATACTTTAATTGTCAATGCCTACAATGACGCCTTGAAGTCCATTGAGGAGACACCTTTCTGTGGCAGTGTTGAGTCATGGCAAGCATAGCTGTCATCTGTGCACGAATCAGTAATGATGTATAGATTGTGTCGACAGGTGTATTGCTTATTCTCCAGCCAGCTTCGACAGCTTCCTTACACCTTTCTTGGTTAAAGGGCCATCAACGCAACCAGTGAACAAATTTTTCTCATTCCTTAGAGATTCACTATGTCGAATTAATATCAAAGAAGATTCCTTTACAACCAAATTCACAAAGCCAAGATTAAAAGACGACACATACCCTAATCTCCATAGTTAACAATAGTAAGCGGAAAACATGAAGCACCAGAGACTTTCCTCATTTAAAACTAAACAGGAGAATGATCTAGGGCAAGTAAATTTCCTAACATAGGCAATATATATAATTAGTTTAGGATAAGATAAACTCATCCGATTTCTTATTTTTGTGATCATTTGTACCATGTGAGATAGATGAAACTGGATCCACCAGTGAAGAATGAGATGACAATGATGAACTACATGCAACTTAGACTGTCTAGACATAGAACTTCCTTTTGTTAGCAATCTAACGTCAACTGCAAAACCCTTTGAGATAAACTTCAATGAGTAATTCCCAAACTTTCTTTAAGAGCCCCTATCATCACCACATGACTTCAGCTGAATGGTCTCTACTGTTTGGTGGAACCTGCCAGTGGCAGTTTTAACAATCCAATGTAACCGACCAATCAAACCAGCAGCAAATTAATATTACAAAATAAGTTTTTATGGACTGGACAATACTGTTTCATAAAATGCTAATGCTGACGATTACTGCCATTGTAAGATTAATAAGAACCTGATGAGCAGACGGCTGCACTAAATTTCATTAATAAGCTTATAATTGAGTAATTTCATACAGAATTAGAGATTCAAATAGCCCTAATCCCCACTAAACATAACCAGAGTTAAACTCAAGGATACGAATGATTGATTTATAACAGGTTTGTCCTCCTCAACATACCTCCTTAACGTCAGTTAATTCAATCCGAAAACCCAGTTTAAAATCAAGCCAAATCATTAATTTCTTAATTTGCATAACATTCTTTTCTTAAAAAAAATATCAGAATAAAACTCCACGTGAGTTGAGATTCAACTAGACTGTCTCATGTCAGCCTCACTATAAAATAATAAAAGACAAAACCCACCACCCAAAAAACGAATTCCAGCATGCAATAAATAACTGGGACTCTGGGAAGGCAGATAAGTTTTCCACTTTCCAATAAGTCACTCAATTAAATCAAACAAAACCTACAACATATTCATCGAAGGTGTAATGGGTAAAACGAAGGAGAAAAAATTAACTAAACAAAGCCATTGCAAAGACAAAAATCGAATACTTTAAATACAAAAAGGGAAAGCAGAGGAGAAGATAAAAGATAGAACTCACTGGAGAGGTCAAATGGGTATGAATAGAACAGGCAAAAGACCTGTTGCCAAGCCACGTATTAATTTAGTGGGGAAACAGTGACTGGGGTGGCGGAGTCTCTTTCGCCAGTGCAAAAGTGGCTTGGCAACGTACGTAACTGACATTGTCGTCCTTTTAGGAGAATTTTTATTTTTGATCCATCATGATATGGGCCATGCTTGGCCTGCTAGATCCTGGGCTTACGTTTAGAGCCCACTGAGCTTACACGAATCTGTTACATGAATCAAGATTTTATGGAGAAATTGAAAGAAACATGGCATAGTAAAAAATTTAGATTATTGTATTTTTTTCCTAATAATATAGTAAGATTTGGGTTATATTCATTCTATCTTTTTTTTTTGGGAAAAACATAGGAGTAATTAATGATGTTTAAGTTCAGGTTGAACCATATTTAACCAAGCCAACCTCATAAATCTTATATTGAATTTGCAATTGTCCATCATAATTTTCTACCATTCCGACAAATGCTAATTAATATATTTAATTACAAAGCTTAAGTAAGATGTTACAGCTTTGCTGGCTTTACATATTTGTCCCCAATTATAATTATCAAGCTTTATAATAGTGATGCATTATAAACTAAAAGAGATCATGCATCTGAGCATTTGCAGATATATATTATGCATTGCTTTACTTGAAGAAGATTGGATTTGATTTAATGTAAAAATGTAACTAGTTTAGAAAATGGAAGGAACAAATTGGGTCGAAAAGTTTTGGATCAATATTTTGTGACAATGGAAAGAGGTGTGGGTTTCAAGACTAATGATCAGTTTGTTAACGTTTTTGGTGTTACGAATGATGGCCCAGGACATGACTTTCTAAATGGCAACAAAATCCAATTTCTAACCCATACGAAACATCTAATAAACAAAATGAAAGACCACAAGTAAGTTACCCGATCAGTAAATCTAGTATTATACCATATTCCAATAGACGAAAAGACATAATGTAGAACATTCTTTTTTTTCAATGAGTAGGAGAGATACATATGCACCGATCATCAAGAAAATGACTGGTGAATATGGATCAACATGTCTTAGACCTGGACCTAAAATCCAGAAAAACACCAAGCTAAAACAAGAAGAAGTACATAAATTCTCTATGCATCATCCTGCAATAACTTCTGGAGCAATTCTTGGCAGCCAGCCGCTGCCTCATCCTGGAGGAATCCCATTGCGTTTGCATAATGAAGGTTGGAAATGACACCATTGCTTCGGGTGAGAATGACAGTAGCCTTGTTACGTCCAGGATCCGCATTTCTGCAGCTTGGAATGGGGCTGCTAACAAGTGTGGCATAGCATATTTGGTCTTGGTGGTCATCTTCGACCAAAATGTCATATGTTCCAGTTGAGTCAGTCACTTCCCCAACGCTGAATTTCAGACTTAACGTGGTCCTGTCGTAGCACTTGATTTCAACCCTTGCACCTGGAAAAAAAAAACCATGAAAGACCTACTACGATTAAGCATTAAACAAAAACAAATCATAACAGGAAAAGAAAGACTAAATTATACCAGGTATGTAAGAGCATTTAGATGTCTCAAAGCCAGCACGACAGGCATCACAGTAAACTTTACCGACAATGCGGAAAGGTTCCCCGCCTGCATTGACGAGCGCAGGGAGAACACAGAGAGCAAGCAACAACAGCAATTTAGTAGTCATTGCCTTGGGAAGAACAAGCAGTAGAAAAAGGCTTATCCAAAGAGAAGGAAAGGCTGAAAACGGAAAATATAGGGGCCAGGAAAGAGAGTGATATTTTATAGGGGTTGTTCATGCATAACGTTTCAATAGTTGAGGGACTTTGAAGATGGTCACATGCAGGAACAATATTGAAAGATTTCGCGTCTTGCGGCATTTTGTTCTCAAATTTTGCATTAATTTGGGGGTCGGTCAGATCCACTTGCCAAATCCTCCGTTTGCGCCAAATTGAGTTTATGGATTCTGCAAACCATAAATTATACTACTCCCCAACAATGTAATAAAGATGAGATGCTTAGGTACCTTAAACCAGCAGCAATTAAGTAACTAGTTATTATATCTTTGTGCCCAAACCGCGTATTGCATTGCATTTCTGAAGTGGAATTTCTAAGCATAAGCTTTTTTTAATTTCGTTGACCAAAGCTTAATTAATTAGGTAGCATTTACAATTCCAAGACTAATACCGTAATGCTCATCGTTCTGATTGGGCTGCGGAAATACTACTTCCTCTATCATTATCTCTAGCCGGCTTGTGTTTCAGCCTAAATTGCAATAATGCCATTCTAAAGTAAGGCCTTCACGCCATGCAGAGAGCTACACTCACAATTCTAGTAACCAATTGTATAGCTAGGGAGGCAGCTTCATGTAGAAACTTGACATGCATGTGCCAATGCTAACTTAATGGAAGGGGAAGCAGGGAAGAAAAGTCATTGCGTGCCTATGACATGAACAAAAAACAAAAAGAAAAGAAAAGGTAATTAGTTTGACTTTAATGAATGTTATGGATCCCTATGACAAAACCATCGTATTTTGCAATTTCATTTTCAACTAAGGGGCTATATATTTAATGAAATTTTAAGATGAACAAGAGGGATATCATGTGCATGACGCGTGCGTACACTTTGGACCAAAAGTCAATTGCAGCTGTATCACATGAAGCTCACAAACAAGCATGCATTTTTTTTTCTTTATCAAGAAATCCAATATGGCTACGAATTTGGGTTTAAATCAAGTAGCCAAAAATGCCTTGAGATTTAAATAAGAATTTTAGATTTTATAAGCCAGTTTTGCAAATAAAAAAACTTGAATTAAAAAAAATACATTTGAAAAATGTTTTGTAAAAATAATTAGTGAAAATTTATGATTTGAGATTTTTGATTATATATATATATATATCTGATATTAAAAGTGTTGCAGAGAATTAAAAATATCAAAAAAAATATGATGTTAAAAAGTAAAAAATAAGTTATTTTCTTTTGTGTTTACTTATAAGTAGAGTGTAAGTATATATTATTGTTACACATAATATCATAAAATTATAGAAATACAATTGAATTTTTTTTTAAAAAAATAAAAGTTGCTTCCAACCAGCAAATAAATAGTTATTATTCTCTTTATATTTTTATTTTAAATCTAATATCTACATAAATCAAAAGATGATATAATATTATATACTTTGATATACCTCACGTAAAATATTACCAAAAAAAGAGTAATGCTATACAATTCAAATGGCAATTATGTAATTTTAAGCACGGCATTTTGTTTTTCATAGGATTTTTGGCCTACTGAAGCCGAGAGTCTAAATTTCTCTTTTAAAGAACTACCCAATGGGCCAGTCGTGGTAGGATAGGACTGATCACCTAAGGGCCTAGCCAATAGCCACTGGCGTTGTCAGAGTCACAGATGACCTTTTCTCGCTTTTGTGGGGCCTGGCTGGTGGGGTTTTGGCTTTGCCAGGGAGTTGGTGTAGGCGATATTGCATCGGTGCGCCATATAAAGGCCGGCGTCGGCTGCTCAGCTTTCAATCTCACTGATATTTAGTGAAAATTGGGATGAATTTTTTAAATTTATAAATAATTTTTTTTTCTATTTAATAAATTTTAATTTTTTTCTCAATTGTCATTAGTAGTCGAGCTATCCATCCAAGCTCGTGGGCCTAATCTAAACTTGAACCAGTTTGATTAATTTATTTTATTAATAATTTTAAATCTTTATTAAATTCTAATCTTAACATATATTTAAAATATTAATATAAAATAACATATTGTTATTTTAATAATAAAATAATAATTAAATGACAAACCTGATTGGCCTCAAGCTTGGCTTTAAGAAAGGAGGCTCAATAAGCTTTGACTAGTATCCAATCCAAGGACACCTCTAATTGTTAATGACGTTGCAGCCTTTTGGTCTAAATATTTCAACTTATAATTATCATAATTGTCTCTACTAAACGAAAAATTTTTGGCTAAAAATTTATAACACATTTAAAAGTACAGATATTAGAAAACTTTTTGATTGACAAAATTGGTCATATTTGTTCATTATATTTCTAAATTGCTATTTGCAAAATTTTTTTATTAATATTAATAAGATTTATCTATTATATAAATATGAAAAGATTTTAATTGTATCAAATGATTTTCATCAAAATTTTTGTTTATTATAAACATTACTAGGATTTATCTAATTTATAGATAAAAATTTTAATTGCATTAAATTACTTCAATTAAAAACTATATATGTTAATTCTTGTAGTATTAAATAATTTATAAATTAATAATAAAAAATCAATTATATATAATTATTTTTTATTTATTGGAAATTAACTTCAAACTTGATAAATATTTGAATTTTATATATAATCATTATTTTAAAAAATAAAAAATAAATATTTACATACAATGCAGGCAACAATAAATATAAATTTTGATAAATGAAACTAAACTTTACTTGCTGAGTATCCAATCCAATATATATGATTAAGACGGTCTAAAAAGGCGATCTGAACATAATCTTATGCCGCTCAAAGGGGTCATGGTTATGCACCTTTTAACAGGAATTGAACTGGCTGAATCTAATCTTATACCTCATCTACATTAATGACCGCTTTTACCCAACCACCAGCAGATCAACTGAAAAAAACCAATTGACCTAAAAAGCAAAAGGAATTTACAAGTCCCATTCTCACCCTGCATATGTACCAGACCCAACAGCAGGAGCATCCTGATAAAATGGTATATTTCATTCACATCCTTTTTGAATACAAGAGGCTGCTTATATAACATGTATAGAAATCTATCTTTGGAAGGTAATAACAAAAACCTAAGCTAGGATTATTGCAATTCCATAATTAATATAAACAAATAAAAATGAAATCTCCATAATCTTTCATAGGATCTTCTATTACAACTCATGCCAACAACCCCCCTCAAGTTGGTGCAAAAATGTCTCCAATGCCCAACTTGTCTAGTGAGTTATAAAAAATTTTGCTTGAGATTGCCTTTGTAAGGATGTCTACCAACTGTTTTTCTAACTTTACAAATAGAAATTGAACTATCTTAGCTTCAAGCTTCTCCTTGATAAAACGTCGGTCCACCTCAACATGTTTTGTCCAGTCATGTTGAATTGGGTTTCGTGCAATCTTTATGGCAGCTTTATTATTGCAAAACAGATTCATTGCAGAGCCGGATGAATAACCAATCTCTATCAGTAACGCCTTTAACCAAAGAAGCTCCTAGAGTCCTTTAGCCATGCTTCTAAACTCAGCTTCTGCGCTAGACAATGCGACCACCTTGACTTAATCGAGCTACTTCGATTCCCAAAAAATATTTTAGTCCTCCAAGGTTTTTCATTTCAAATTCGATTGCTAGATGCTTCTACAAGTTGGAAATCCCCTCCTTGCCATTCCCTGTAATTATCATGTCAACAACATAAATTATTAGAGCTGTTACCATCCTTCTTCGGTGCTTCAAGAATAGAGTATGATCTGAATTGCTTTGTTTGAAACCATGCTTCGTCATAGCCAAGCTAAATCGTTCAAACCACTCTCTCGATGATTGTTTTAATCCATATAGTGCCTTCAGCAGTTTGCATACCACTCCAATTTGTGAGGTAGTGAAGCCTGATGGAATGTCCATGTACACTTCTTTTACAAGATTCCCAAGAAGAAATGCATTTTTTACATTGAACTGATGTAGTGATGGAACTAATAAAGTTGATCTGAAAGAGATGGAACTAATAAAGTTTTTGGTAGTGACAAAGATGGTGAAAGTGCCATTCTTCTAGCCCCTGTAGCTGGGTATTTTACTTCATTAGCACATGCAATGCATGTCTGTTTTGGTTGAGTGGCTTTAACAAAATCTCGTGGATCAAATGTCATGCGATCAGTTGCCCCTGAATCAACAATCGAACCATGGTTACCTGAATCATTAAGGGCCATAGATTTGTTCGCCATAGCAGGTGAAGAGTCCTTTTGTGGTATTAGGGAAAGTCGAGATTCAATGTTTGTCACAGCAGGAGAAGAATCTCCAGTGTTCACGAATGTAGCTCGACCAGCTTCAAGTTTCCTTTTTTCCTTAAGTTCGTGCCACCATTCTGGATATCCATGTAGTTTAAAGCAAGTATCTCTAGCGTGTTTCATATTCCCACAGTGTGTGCAACCCTTTTCCTCTACTTGTGACTTCAACTTTGTTGATGTATTAGACTTCCCTTTGGACATCAAATGAAGTGAAGATTGCTGCTGTGGCTTCTGTCTTCCTTTCGAGATCATAACAGCACCAGCCACGATATCTCCTTTTGTCAACATCACTGTTTGTCTTAGATTTTCTCGACGAACATTTGCATAGGCTTGCTTTACTGTAGGAAATGGTTGAAGTTGAAGCACATTTCTTTGGATCTTGTCAAGACAATCACTTAATCTATCCAAAAAAGTATAAACCCTATCTTCTTGTAACATAAAGTTACACTTCTGTATATCAATTTCACATTTCATCACATTTGGACGACGAAAATCGATTTCTCTCTATAGTCTTTGAAAGTTGTTATAGTATGGCTCAATAGATCCTCCTCCTTGTTTAAGCCTCATCACCTTCCTTTTGAGGTCGTAAACTTGTGAGGTGTCGATGCTGTCAAAATATGTTGTAGCAGTAACTACCCATACTGCTTTCGCCGTTAGGAATCTA